TAGTGTTGGTACGCGTATGTGTATTAGTATAGGGCTGTCTCTTATACACATCTAGATGTGTATAAGAGACAGGAGTGAATGTGGGGGTGAGAGTATTTGCGGGGGTGATTGTGGAGGTGAGAGTGATAGGGGGGTGAGTTGCGGGGGTGAGAGCGATAGCGTGGGTGTTGGGGGTGAGTAGAGTATAAGTGCAGGGTCTGATCTTTGTGAAAATTCAAATTGTTGTATGAGTGGTAGGGGAAGGGTTGACGGGGGTGTGTATTGCGTGAATACTTGCGAGATTGAGTACGGGGTCGATGTGGTGGATGTAGCTCAGGAACTATCGGAGAAGGATCAATAGTTGTGGAAAGGGTACTTGCGATCAGTAGTTCAGGGAAAGTGTAAACTAAGTTTATTTGATCGGGAGAGTTTCGTGACACGACTGTGTCAGAATGGCTAAATGATAAGGGTGTGATAGTATTTATGGTAGTGAGGGGCGTGAGATGACAAGGGGCAATACACGGGATGGTGTTGCAACGAGCGGAGTGGCTCTCGTGCGTTATTGGAGGTCATTAGTGCAGGAATTGGTTAAGAAAGGATTCGCGTGTAAACGTACGAACAAACTTAGCATCTAGTCACTTAGTTCGTTCGCAACTATGATCCTCTGGACAGCCATGGCCCTTGCTATGAATAGAACTAGCAAGGGTCATAAGCATCTTACCCGATGTGCCGGGACCTTTCATCCCGAGAGCGAAAAAAACGAAGGGGGGAGAGAGAGAGAGAGAGAGAAACCGGGGATAGGGAGAGCTTGGGGGAGAGAGAAAAAGGGAGAGAGCGGGGGAAGGGAGGGAGAGGGCTTTGAGAGCGGGAGCGAGAGAGATTTGGTGAGAGTGCGAGAGGGAGTAAGAGGGAGGGAGAGAAGCGAGAGAAAGACAGAGAGGGGGTGAGAGAGAGGGGGAGAGCGAGGGAGAAAGAGGGGGGGAAAAAGAGGAAGAGGGAGGGAGGGAGAGAGAATGTGCGAGAGAGAGAGAGAGAGAGAGAGAGAGAGAGAGAGAGAGCTGTCTCTTATACACATCTAGATGTGTATAAGAGACAGCTTTATCTAGGTGAGCAGCAACTAAGAGGGTCCC